GCAGCTCGTCTCCAGCTCAAGCGGAGCTTCGGCTCGGACTTTCCTGTTCTGCGTCTGCACTCTTACAGAGGCGGAGAGTTCTTCTCTGGCCTTCTGCGAGCCTACTGTCGTGCACGAGGCATCCGGTAGACCTTCACGCTTCCGGACTCTCCACAGCAAAATGGGATTGCTGAGCGCCGCATTGGCATGGTCATGGACGTCGCCCGTACGTCCATGATGCATGCGGCTGCCCCCCATTTTCTGTGGCCGTTTGCAGTCCGGTACGCGGCGCATCAAATCAACCTTCAGCCCAGGGTCTCCATGCGGGAGACCTCCCCAGCCTTGCTGTGGACGGGGAAGGTTGGCGATGCGTCTGCGTTCCGTGTCTGGGGATCTCGGGCGTTTGTTCGCGACTTGTCTGCGGACAAGCTGTCCCCTCGTGCTGCTCCTTGCGTCTTCCTGGGTTTCCCCCCTGACGCGCCAGGGTGGCAGTTCTACCACCCCACCTCTCGCCGTGTTCTGTCCTCCCAGGACGTCACGTTCGACGAGTCGGTCCCCTACTACCGCCTCTTCCCCTACCGCACTCCGCCCCTCCCCCCGCCACCGCTCTTCCTTGTGCCAGGTCCCCCCCCGGTAGACCCCCTCCCCCCTCAGGGTCCTGTCCCTTCAGGTGTGTCCAAGGTAGACGTTGTCGAGCCTCTCGAGGTCGCTAGTGACTCTGGTGCTGCCGAGGGTGCTGAGCCTGGGGGTGCTGACTCTGGGGGTGCTGACTCTGGGGGTGCTAAGCGTGTGGGTACTACGACTAGGGGTGCTGAGCCTGGGGGTGCTGAGTCTGGGGGTGCTGAGCCTGAGGGTGCTACGCCTGGGGGTGCTGAGCCTAGGGGTACTGAGCCTGGGGGTGCTACGCCTGGAGGTGCTGAGCCTAAGGCAGCTGAGCCTGCTCGTGGGGCGTCTGGCGGTGCTGAGCCTGGCGGTTCTCTGTGTGCTTCGTCTCGCCGGGAACCACTCTCTCCACAGGAGCTGCGTGAGTGGTTTGCCCGGCGTTGGAGGCGAGCTGCTGGAGCTGGAGGTGCTGCTGGTACTGGAGGTTCTGCTGCTGCTGTGGGTGCTGGTGCCGCGGGTACTTCTGGAGCAGGAGCTGCTTCGGGTGCTGGCGCGGAGGCTACTGCTGTCGGTCCTGGAGGCGGTCTTGCTGAGGGTGCTACTGGTACTGCTGAAGGTACTGGAGCTTGAGGTGCTGCTGGTGTTGGTGCTGCCGCTGGGGGTACTGGTGTTGTCCCTGCTGTGTCTGAAGTCACCGCGCGGCCTCGGCCGTACTTCGTTCCGCTCCTTCAGCAGGTTCTTGGTCTCCCGCCTTCTACTGGTCCTCCTCCTCCCTTAGAGTGTCCACAGCCTGTCCCGTCACAGTTACAGTTACAGCCGGCCTCCCCACTGCCTGCTCGGTCTCCCTACACTAGTCCTACTAGAGGTCTTGCTGAGCGTCGTGAGCCTGCGTCTCGCCCTGCGTCGCCTGTCCGTGCTACTCGCACTAGTGGTCGTGGTTCGCGTCACCGTCCTCCTCCTGTCCCTGGCACGCACCGGATGTCTCTGCGTCCGTCCACTGCTCCTCTGCGTGCCCCTTTGCCTTCTCCTCCTGAGTCTTCTCTTCCTGCTCTTGCCGACCCGGAGTCGGACTCTCTTCGTGCTGCCAGTCCTACTGTCACGCGTCTCCTTGCTACTGTTGTCACTGACCCTTCCTTTGGGTCCACTGTTGCGTCTGCCCTAGTTGCTGAGCTCGTCGACTTTGCTGCTCACTGTCGTCTAGACTACGCTGCTAGTCTTGTTGCTGAGTCTGAGTCTGTCTGTCCTCCGTCCGTCGGGGGTGAGTGTGCCCTTGGCACGGACGTCCTTGAGGACAGGTAGGAGGAGTTCCACTGCTTGGCCGCTGCTTCACCTCATCTCGTGTCCGTACTGCTTACCCCTAAGGGAGACCCGGATGCACTTGACATCCCGACTCCGCGCTCTTACGCGGAGGCGATAGAGGGTCCCTACTCCTCTCAGTGGCAGGCAGCTATGGACGCAGAGATGGCTTCCTGGAAGTCCACAGGCACCTACGTTGACGCCGTTCCCCCTCCTGGGGCGAACATCGTCAGTGGCATGTGGATCTTCAGAGTGAAGCGGCCGCCGGGTTCTCCGCCTGTCTTCAAGGCGCGTTACGTGGCTCGTGGCTTCAGTCAGCGGCAGGGAGTTGACTACTTTCAGACCTTCTCTCCCACCCCGAAGATGACCACTCTTCGGGTGCTGCTGCACGTTGCTGCTCACCGTGACTACGAGCTGCACTCTCTCGACTTCAGCACAGCTTTCTTGCAGGGCAGCCTGCACGAGGAGATCTGGCTGCGCCGCCCACCTGGCTTCACTGGGTCGTTCCCTCCTGGTACCCAGTGGAGCCTCCGGCGTCCAGTTTACAGTCTCCGCCAGGCTCCACGTGAGTGGCACGACACACTGAGGACTACACTTGCGGCTCTTGGGTTTGCTCCTTCTACTGCCGACCCGTCGCTGTTTCTACAAACCAACACCTCTGTGCCGCCGTTCTACATCCTCGTGTCCGTCGACGACTTGGTCTTTGCCACAACTGACACTGCTGGACTCGCCTACGTGAAGTCCGAGCTGCAGAAGAGACACACGTGCACAGACCTGGGTGAACTGCGCAGCTACCTTGGCTTGCAGATCACCCGGGACAGAGCACGCCGCACCATTACCCTGACTCAGTCACACATGGTGCAGCAGGTCCTTCAGCGCTTCGGCTTCACGTACTCCTCGCCTCAGGCCACTCCTCTGCCTACTCGCCACTCGCTCTCAGCTCTGCCTTCGGATGAGTCCGTAGAGTCGAGTGGCCCGTACCCAGAGCTTGTTGGCTGCCTCATGTACCTGATGACCTGCACACGACCTGACCTTGCATACCCTCTTAGCATTCTCGCACGCTATGTTGCTCTTGGGAGACACCGACCAGAGCACATGGCTGCAGCGAAGAGGGTGTTGCGCTACTTGTGCAGTACGTCGGACATGGGGCTAGTGCTTGGAGGGCGCAGTCCAGTGGTCCTTACTGGGCACGCAGACGCTTCTTGGGCTGACGGCCAGGCTACGCAGCAGTCGTCACAGGGTTACACCTTCAGCCTTGGTTCCGGCTCTGTTTCGTGGCGGGCTACTCGCTCGTCTTCTGTTCTCGGCTCCAGTTGTGAGGCTGAGATCTACGCCGGGGCCATGGCTGCACAGGAGCTTCGCTGGCTCGCCTACGTGCTGACTGACCTCGGAGAGCCGCCTCGTTCTCCTCCAGTGCTGTACGTAGACAACAAGGCCATGCTGGCCTTGTGTCGAGAGCAGCGACTGGAGCACAGAACAAAGCACATTGCTCTCCGCTACTTTCTTGCTCGTGAGCTACAGCAGCGTGGACAGTTGCGGCTTGTGTACGTGGCCTCTGAGGCCAACACTGCTGATGTTTTCACCAAGGCACTTCCGCCTTGTGATCATCATCGCTTCTGCACTCAGTTGGGTCTTGTCGCTGTCTTGCCTCACTTGCTCACCTCTTGACCTTGCTTGTACTGTTACATATATATATACCTGCTCTTGCTTGTCTAGACTTATTTATATATGTACTCCTGCATGTGAACTGGCCTTGTACTTGTGCTCGGAATGTGTGGTGACTTTGTGATCCACCCTGAGCTTTGCTTTGTTCTGCTTTGCTTGACTGGTCTTGTGACCCCCTGTTCTCCCCCACTTTCCCTATGGGGGTGTGTCAGAACATTATAGCTTATGCTTTTGTGTAGGTTGTAGTGGGGTATCCCATAGGGGGTACAACCCAATTAGGGTTAGTACTTGTACCCACTTCATTCATAGTTCATTCATTCTCGTTTCAGTTTTCTCAGAAGGTTGATGCGCCTCAAGCAAGCTCATTGAGGTGCTTGCCGTACGTGTGAGCCAGACGGAGGAATTTGAATGGAAGAAAAAAAAACAAAAAATACTCGCGATCAGGTCACACGGTGTGAATCTCCCGAAACAGTTCCGCTGGCGATACGAGTTCACCGCAAGTTGATGCGACTCGAGAGGAACCTTTCAAGACCTAAAAACGGGCCACTTTCGAAACGATTCCCGAAAACATATCCTATTTCCGGATCGACCTTTTCACTAAGGACCATCGGCTGATACTTTACTAAGTAATGAAGTTCCATAGCTAGATGGTCAAAATACAAACCTTTTGAGATGGTTCCGCATAAAGTAGGGATCCTTCGCATAAACCGCGAAGTCGACGGTTTCAAGCGTTGATCGTCGCAGACGTTCTCGCCGGTCGATCGCCTCGCTCTGCGCAGACGCTGTGGCGCCGCCTCCGGGCTTGCTCCCCCATTCGCGATCCATGGAGGAGTAACTTAGCCAACCTAGCTTCTGGAACTGCTACTCGATAAAAGAATCAAGTACTACTAAAAAATAATATTGTGGTAGGACTACGTTCGTACGAACTAGTTCCTCGAAAGTATTTCCTCGCTAAGGCATGATCCCTTGGTCTCAGAAATTACTGCTTTCTCGCTGCCAGCTACTGGCATAGCGGTGGAATCCGTAATCCCGAGGCAGAGGGTGCGCAACGACTGAAACGGATATTGAAACAGAAATTGAACATACGGTATCACGAGAAATTGCACACAAGGCTGTACATCTCTCACCGTACTCAACCATACAGTAGAGCGATGTGCCGCGCCACACAGCTTACAAAATAATAGTCCAACTTTTGTTTAGATATGTTAGATGTAAAGAAAGGCACTCTAGATGTGTCAAAACAGTTTCTTACCAATTCTTATTGATACTGTTCCTTGCACTCTGCTTGTTGCTGTTTGCTTGCATGATAATGATGAGTGATCATGACTAAATGTTCCAAGATAAACACCAATGAAATATGCACGGCCATCACATATACACAAGGTATAAACCATTCACACGACTTCCCCCCTACCCTATGCACAGAGATCAAGGTTCAGATGACCACCGCCACCACTCTAAAACGGAGTGGACCCAAAGATGTTCCCCTGGGACGAGTAATCACACACCCACATGCCACCCCCATCAGGGCATTGCGCCCACGCACACCCCACATGGGTCGTTCCCGCCCACACCACCTGCGTGTAATGCCCATACATCCGCCCCTCCACACACCCCTCGGGCACCAGGCTGGGAGTCCAATCCGCCTTCTCATCCACCCACGCCTGCACCGCCATGTGATCCTCCTCGGGGGTCAGCGCTGCCGGCGAGCGCCAGTACAGGTTCTGCCTGAGCCCCTCCGCGCCGCCATGCTGCAGCGGGCACCCCGCGCCCGCCAGCTAGTCCGCCCACTCCTGCGCTGCTGCTGCCACGCCGTCGTCCCACGCCAGGTCCACCACCCCCACCTCCCGCCGCGCTGCGTTGTGCACCTCCAGGATCGCGTCGATATCTATCGGCCCTCCTCCTCCATCGCTGCCGCTGCCGCTGCCATTGTCAACGCCGTTGTCACCACCAGTTCCATTATCCCCACCGTTGTCGGCGTTGTTGTCACCATCGCAGTCGCCGCCGTCAGCTTGTGCAAAAGCAAGAGAACCCAGCCGCTCACTCCCATAGTTCACACCACGGCTCTCGCCTTGAGTCCCGCTCCTGTGAGTAATGGCCACATCGCTGCTTGTCGCCATGCGAAACTGCGGAGTCTTGTTCAGCCCATTCCCATAGCTCACACCGCGGTTCACACCACCGCTCCTGTGGATGGCCACATCCCTGGCTGGCTGTCGCCATGTGAAGCGGTGCCTTGTCGAGCCCACTCCCGTAGTTCACACCACGGTTCGCGGCTTGAATCCCGCTCCTGTGAATGGCCACATCGCTGCTCGTTGCCATGCGAAACTGCTGTGCCTTGTGGAACCCTTTGCGCTGATTGTCCTCAAGCTCCCAGCCATTGTTGTTGCTGGGGCGAGAAATGCGAGAGGGTGCTCCCTTGACGGTGCCCTGGGTCCCACTTCTGCGAATGAGCACATCGCTGCTAGTCGCCATGCGAAACTGCTGTGCCTTGTGCAACCCAGTGCGTTGATTGTTGCGAGCCCCCCAGCCGTTGTTGTTGTTGATGCGAGAGACACGAGATGATGCTCCATTTATGCCATGACTCATGGTCCTGCCCCTTCCCTGACCTTGGCTGCTGCTCTCACCCCCGTGCCAGCCAACTGCATCATTGTCATTGTCCTTCTCATCTTCACTGTCATTGTCCCTACCGTTGTCGCGCAACAAGCTGTTGTTGTCCTTGTCATGATCATCACCATTGTCATCGTTGTCGTCCTTCTCATCATCCTTCTCATCGTCCTTCTCACCATCCTTGTCATCATCCTTCTCATTGTGGTCATCGTCATTCTCGCTGTCATCGTCCTTCTCCTCATCATCGCCATTGTCATCGCTGACGTCCTTCTCATCATCGACATCATCAGCCACCACATTCCTCCACGCCTTTGCCTGCATCTCCTCCTCCTTGTCCACTCCCGGTGCTGGGGGGAACGATCGCCACGTCCTCAGCGGTCGCCATGTGAGGACGCACGGGTTTGTCGCTCGCTCCCATCATCGCAGCAGCAGGCGGATTCTCGACGCTGTGACTCGCAGGCGCTGGCGCCGGCGTCTGGGGAACGATCGTCACGTCCTGGGAAGCTGCCTTGTGAGGCGCGGCCACGCCTGGTGTGTTCGTGTTAGGTTTGTTCAAGGTGCTCGCCGCTCCCATCATCGCAGCAGCAGGCTGATTCTTAGCGCCGTGACTCGCAGTCGCGGCGCTCACGGCTGGCTGCGCGTTTCCCACGTGGGATGATCCGCCCTTGCCCGCCGCGCCCATCATCGCAGCAGGCTGGTTGTTGTTGATGTGACGTGCACTCGCCGCGCCCATCATCGCAGAAGGCTGGTTGTTGTTGTTGTGATCGCGCAGTCGTCGCGCCCACAGCTGGATGCGCATTTCCCATGTGGGACCCTCCTTTGCCTGCTGCGCCCTTGTTAGCCGCGGTCGCCTTGCCAGCTGCACCATTTCTCTCAGCGCGCTTGTTCGGTGCGGGATTTCCTGCCGCGCCCTTAGCTGCGACCTTGTTTGGTGCGACCTTGACATTTTTCGGTGCGACCTTGTTAGCCCGCCGCGCCCTTGCCCGCCGCGCCCTTGCCCGCCGCGCCCTTGCCTACTGCTCCCGGCAGGATCGACTCGCTTGAGTCGGAATCATTCGCTAAAGAAGCAGCCTTCGGAGTCACTTGAGCGGTGACAGCAGCGGTGGCGTCGCGGCCTTGTGCGGGTTTAGACGGAGTGGGTTTGATGAGCAGAGAACGGCGGCCCGCCAGAGTTGATGGCGTTAGATGGGATGAGCAAGAGCCGACGAACAGGGCGAGAAGGATGATGGGCATGAGCCGTGGATTCGCCATGGTTCCCATCCAACGTGTAAAAAAAGGATATCACGTGTTGACTGCCGATGGGAATTTTCAAAGTCGAAGTACTAGGAGCGGCAGGGAATCGAGGTGCTTCTGCAGTGGTTGAAGCCAGGGGTGGGATTATGTTCTTCTTTCGAGAATGAGAAAGGAGGTTTGCTGGATGTGCTTCGAGAGATTTTGCGTTCCAATTTATGTTTCCGAATTCCAATTTGCTGCTACGCGATTCGGCGTTTGCGACGACGGCGATCGGAAGTTACGGACTTCGATTGCTGTGAGCGATACGGGAGGGACAATCTTGAGGTCATGTAGATTCCATTTCGATACCGTGTGCGAGACTGGTGGGGCATGCGACGTCAGGATACGGACTGGCGAAAGCAGGTTACGCTTCTTTTCTGCGGACTGAGCCCGACAATTGAGCTCGCATGACATTGCTGTGATGATTCAAGCTTTCGCTGAAGTCAACCAGAGTCTGACAGAAATCTCTACCTTTCCTTCGGCAAAAGGGCCCTCGAATTACCACATGGGAGACGCTAAATTAGATTCACCTTGCACATAAAGTGTTATCATGTGAGCATGAGGGTTTCATTCAGGAATAACACAGTACATCCACAGGCATGTGTTATCATGTGCCTATCTCCATGTATGCTATCAACCGTGTGATTTTATTGAGTCACCTAACGGAACATTCACAAGGGCTTCAGCATGGAGCAGCGAGAGACCTCAGCTTCCTGTGGTACATCTGAGAGGGCCCCAGCTCAAATCAAACGCCGCAGCGCCTACCGTATCTGTGCTTGCCTACCAAACGTGTTTTTTTATTGAACGAGCGGAATCTTCAAAGACGCTTCACTCCAGACCCTGTCAATGCATCCAGAAGAGACTTCAACTTCCTGTGGTACATCTGAGTGGGGCCCAGCTCAAAAGCCACAGCGCATCACCTAACCACCCACGTTCGCTTCATGTGAATCTGACAGAATCTTCAGAGAAGCTTCACTCCAGACCCTGTCAATGCATCTAGCAATGACCTCAGCTTGCCGTGGTACATCTGGGTGGGCCCCAGCTCAAAGGCAACAGCGCCGATCTGCTTCTCTAGCATGCGTGCAGCTAGAGCCTTCCCGACCTCCGTAGCTGCGATCTTGTCGCTTGTGCTTGTAAGGGATTTGCGCAGGGAGGCTTCTATGGAGGATGCGGCTGCGAGTGTGAACGCTGTTGGCTCGTGAATCACCTGTATGGGAGCAGCAACAGCAGTAGCAGGGGGTAGGACCAGCAATATGGGGCAGAAAATGGGGAGAGTCAGATGTCACTTGCGCAGGGAGGCTTCTATGGAGGATGCAGTGACGAGGGTGAAGGCTGTTCGCTCGTGAATCACCTTTAGTGGTGGGTAAGATAAGCAACCGGGCAAAACATGAGGTGACTTGGAAGTGAGTTGAGCAGGGAGGATTCTATGAAGGATGAAATGGCGAGCAAGAAGGCTGTTGGTCCATCGAATCAACTGTGCGCTGGAGCAACAGCAGCAGCAGCAGCAGCAGCAGCAGCAGCAGCAGCGGTTGGCCGGTTCAACAACATGAGGAAAGAATGAATGAGGATTTTTATGGAGTGAAGGAAGGCTGTTGGCCCTTGAATCGCCTGCAGCATGCAGCAGCAGCAGCAGCAGCAGCAGCAGCAGCAGCAGCAGCAGCAGCAGCAGCAGCAGCAGCAGCAGCAGCAGCAGCAGCAGCAGCAGCAGCAGCAGCAGCAGCAGCAGCAGCAGCAGCAGCAGCAGCAGCATTGGTGGGGCGCGAATGGATCGGCGGCATTCGGATCAACAGAGAATGGGTGAGAAATGAGGGACGACGTTTTGTGGGGGGATTAGGGATTTAAAGAGTGGACGAAAAGAGGGGCGGGGGGGAGAATGGGGGAACTTGGGGAAGGTGTGGAGCGAAGGAAAGAGAGGAGAGATGGAAGGAAAGGAGGGTGAGAAGGAAAGGAGAGAGGGGGTGAGGAGGAGAGGAGGGAGAGATGAGTAGGAGCAAAAGGATAAACGCAGCCAGCCCGCGACTGCTTGGCGAGAAAAATGTAGGACCACCTGACCTATCTTGTCCGTAGCTGCAGCAGCGGCAGCAGCAGCAGAAGAGCAAGAAGCAGTAGGAAAGAGAAGAATAGAGGAGAAGGGAAGACGCGAAGGGATGGTCGGAAGAGGGGGTTGCGGAAGGGGACAAAATATCTCGTCCCATTTCACAACCCCCTGAAGAAAAGGGTCGAACTGAAATTTAGGAACTGAGAATGAACATAAGCAAGTGAAGGGGAGGGTCGAACTGAGGGGGTTAGCGCCGAATGCGATGGGATGGATGGGATACGTCGGGCATGCAGGTGACTAAGCAGGAAGGCTGTCCGTGCACAAGCAGGAGAAAGAGAAGCGAGCGGGATGAAAGGAATGGGAAGAGTGGAAGGAATGGTGACTGTGATGTGATAGCTAACCCCCTCAGTTCGACCATCCCCTCAGTTCACTTGTTCGGCACATGCGAGTGGTGGTGCGGTGCGAAGCAGGAACGAGCCTCCAGATGTGAAACGAACCGGGCATGAATGTGCAGCGCGGCGCATGAGAGGATAAGGGGAACGCACCTGCGCGTATATGTATCGGTTAGACATGAATACGGATAGCACGATCGGCTTCACGAACTTGGTCGCTCTCGCCATCGCGAATCGTCTGTACGTCGTCGTGCGGTCTAAGGTGCAACCTACGACTGAGAAACGCAAGGTTGGCCTACGATGGGAGAAAAGGTATTAAGAACTCCGACAGTTGTTTTTGCGTGACGGAATTCTCGGAGTCACGTGAAGCTCCGCCCTGCGACAAGTGCAGTCGAGTGACGGTGGGAAGCTTGGTCGCTTCAACGATTTGGCGCGTCACTTACGCTTCACCCCCGTCGCTTGGTCAGGGATCCTTCGTGGCCCTAACGCATCCGGCCTCCTGCATCGCCGCGCAAAACACTGCCACGCGAAGGTCTAAAGTGCTACTGCTAGTAGTTCTAGAGACGACGCTAGGATGTTTGCTCCTACCACTTGAGGGAATAGAAAAGGTAGAGATCAGGTTGGAGAGCAAGTAACCTGGTAACGTCTATTTTTTTTTTCCCGAAAGGAGCGGTCGAGACCTTTTGCGGATTTGACGACACTCGCAGCCCATTTCGAGCAAGATCGACTCGTCAGAATATCGTACTCGCTGTGGGGGCGTTCGTAATTAGTACGTCGATGGTTTGGAATGTGCGACTGGGTGTACACCGTGGAGCGTAGAATTTCGCATAGATCGCTCTATTTACTAAATTCTTTCATGCCTCAGTTTCTTGTCACAGCGGCAATCCCTGTGACACTTCACCTCCATTTTCCGCCGTTCTCATTTTCGCCTTCAGTCATCCAAGCCACTCTCTTGCCAGTGCAGGATTTTTCAAGTCGTCTACGGCAGGAAGCGACCTCGGGTGTGTCGAATCCGCGGAGGCTCTGTCCCTTGCGAGGTTTCCATCTCCCATTGCGTCCTTTGCGGGAACATTCGGGTGATTTCATCCGTGTGGTCCGTTGTACTTTTCGTCGGTCGCCACGCTTCTCTCGCCACGTGTCGCTTCCTGCGTCTCCCGCGTGCCACCCAGACCGCTCTCGCTTGTTCGCATCGCATCCCAGCTCCGAATAACCGTACTTATTGCAGAAGCATTGGGTGCGGTTGTATATAAAGACGTCTCAGAAAATCAGACCGCGTTTCTGCATCGCGTGGCTCGTCGCAAGGAGAGGTCGATTAGGAACCAGTGACGATAAACTTCGACGGCTGCATTCAGCTTCAGATCCAATATCTCGAGATCCAAATTCACACTTATGGTTTGACTTTGAAGAAACTGCTGGGTGAGAGTCAACGCGCTCAACACAGTCAACGTGGTCAACGCGGCAATGCGGTCAATGCGGTCAGCCCAGTGCGTCTGGCGCAGAGTCCAGGCGTACCAGGGTCAATTTTTGCCAGAACGGTTGTTGCGCGCGGAGATATGTGCTACCGCAACAGCGGCAGCGGGGAGCGGGGGGGGAAGAGGAGGGGGAGGAGGAGCAGCAGCAGCAGCAACGGATTCCGCAGTCAGAGCAGCAGCTAGAACAGCTGTTGATCCTGCTGCTGCTGTGGTTCTAGAAAGAAGACTCGAACAGCCTAGATTCACTCACCCACAATGTACCAGTATCTTATCTGCTGCTCCTAATCCTGCACGACAGGACCGACTCTGTTCATTGGAGCACAGCTGGCATCATCATCATGATGATGGCTTGCGGCGGCATCCACGTCAGCATGCGAAGATCCTTCATGCACGTCTTCAGTACCATAATCAGCACGCAAATTTTATCGACCACATCAACAGCGTGACGCAGAATCGTCAACGACACGAGGATCAATCCCTGGCAGCACCAGCAGCCCTGACAGCAGCAACAACCACGATCCCTCGTGCACATCATCCGTATCCGAGTCAGCGTGCATTTCTGCTCAGCCACATCAGTGGCGTGACACAGCAGCGTCAGCGACATGAGGATTACTCCCTGGCAGCGCCAACAGCCACGACAGCAGCAGTTGCAACCACTGCAGCAGGAGCAGCGGGACGAACAGCAGGGAGAGCAGCAGAAGGAGTAGCAGGAGGAGCTTCAGCAACAGTAGCAGTAACAAGGACAAAGGCAACAGCCAGGGGAGGAGGAGCAGAGGGAGCACCACCTCCCATTCCTCATATCACCATGGCAGCCGCATCAGCAGCAGGCATGGGGCCACCAGCGACTGTGCTCCAATCCACCCAGAACCCTCCTCCCTACCATCCGACTCCTCCCCTGCCACCTCCACCACCAAGAGAACCAAGGGAACCGGAACCAGCGCCAGCACCCCCCACTCCCCAGATCGCCATGGCAGCAGCAGGCATGGGCGCGCCTGTGACCGTTTTCCAGTCCACCCAGAACCCTCCTCCTCACCACCCGTCTCCTCCCCTGCCACCTCCACCACCAAGAGAACCAAGGGAACCAGCGCCAGCACCCCCCACTCCCCAGATCGCCATGGCAGGCATGGGCGCTCCTGTGACTGTGTTTGCTGCCAATTTCGGAAGCCTGAAGCCTCGCGTGTTGCTCATTGACGGAACATGCTACGCCTCCCACGCTGGTGAGTCAAATTCGGATGGGTTTGGATGGGTGAATGATTTGTGTGAACCAGTACCGCCAGCACCCCCCACGCCTCAGATAGCCATGGCAGCAGCAGGCATGGGCGCGCCTGTGACTGTGTTTGCAGTCAGAGGGTTACCTTCCCGGTTTCGATTGTTTTTTTCAAAGTCACGATGGCAGTTCAAGTTGAGAACAAAGGCACAAAACCGACGCTCACACAAGAGTACAAGGCGGGTCGTGAATACGGATGACAAACGGAGGAGCTTCACGACTCGCCTCGTACTCCTGTGTGAATGTTGGTTGTGTGCCTTCATTATCAACTGGAACTGCCATCGTGACTTTGAAAAAAACAATCGAAACCGGGAAGGTAGATTGAGAACAAAAGGTGATAGCAGAAGAAATTGACCTTCTCTCTCTCTTCCTCTCCTCTCCAACCCCTTCCACCTTCCCACCCTCACTGCAGTGATTCACCGCATTGCCAAGGCCAACTGTGACCAAAAGCTCTCCGTCTTCTGTGTGTGATAAGTTGATTTTTGAATCGACTCAAAACTCGACTGACCAAAGGCTCTCCGTCTGCTGTGCGCAGTCAGAGGGTTATCTTTCTCACAAAGAAATCCTGCTCCCCGCCCGCCCGCTCTCCTTCCTCTCCGCCCCCTTGCTGCAGTGGTCCAACGTATTGCCTGGGCGGACACAGATCAGAAGCTCTCCTTCTGCTGCGTCTGATTCATAACTGATAGGCTCTCCCCCTATCCACCCCCTCCTGCCACCCTTTTCCCCTGTCTGTCACAGTGGTCCAACCAACGTATTGCCAGGGCAGACAGGGATCAGAAGCTCTCCTTCTGCTGCGCGCAGTTAGAGGCAGCACATCCCGATCACGAGAACTTTAAAACTCCCCCCGCACTCCCCATATCCTACCATCCCCTTCCCCCTTCCCCCTGCTGCAGTGGTCCACCGCATTGCCAGGGCGGACAGGGACCAGAAGCTCTCCTTCTGCTGCGCGCAGTCAGAGGCAGCACCACCCCTACCTCGCTGCCGTCCATCTGCCGCTTCCGCCCCTTCATTCTCCGCCCCACCTCCCTTGTCTCTCACATCCCTCCCCCTTCCCCCTTGCTCTTACTCACAGTGGTTCAACGCATTGCCAGGGCGGACAGGGATCAGAAGCTCTCTTTCTGCTGCGCGCAGTCAGAGACAGCACACCCCTACCTCGCTGCCTTCGGCCTCACCCCCGCTGACGTTCTGCTCTCTCCGGTGTACATTCAAGGCTACAACGCCTCCTTCTCTGGCACTTCAGGTGAGATCCTTTTTCCTCTCCTTCCTTTTCCCTTTTAGTATTATTCATTGCGTCTCAAAACGCGCTCTGCTCTCGCAGGTGTACATCCAAAGCTACAACGCCTCCTTCTCTGGCACTTCAGGTGGGTTTCCTTCCACCACTGCCTCCTCTGCCACTTCAGGTGGGTTCCTCCTGTTCTCAGAATCTGCCTTCTCTACTGCTTCAGATAGCATCAGCCATCCGACGTTCTGCTCTCGCCGGTCTACGTTCAAGGCTACAACACCTCCTTCTCTGGCACTTCAGGTATGCTTCCTCCGTGTATGCTTCTCTGTAATTTTGCCTCCTCTGGCACGCAGGTAGGCTGTTTTCTCTCTCCTTGGGTAGGCTTGCTCTCCTTCTGTGCGCGCAGTCAGAGGCGGCACATCCCTACCTCGCTGCCTTTGGCCTCAACCCCTCTGACGTCCTCCTCTCCCTAGTCTACATCCAGGGATTCAATGCTTCATCCTCTGGCACCTCAGGTGGGTCTTATCCTACTGCCTCCTCTGTCAGTTCAAGTAGGCTGCTTTCTCCTCGGGTAGGCTTTCTTTCTTGCTGGTGAGTGCAGTCAGAGGCAGCACCTCGCTGTCTTTGCCTCACCCCTCTGACGTTCTCCTCTCCCCAGATTATGTCCTAGGGTTCTGGTACAGCGCCTCACTCAGTGCCTCCTCAAGTAGGCTACTTCTTTCCTCTGGTGAGATTTTGAATGTCTCAAACTGCGTTCTCCCCTCTCCCTCTCCCATCCCCTGCCCTCCTCTCCTTGTTCCCCTGTGCTGCCAGCTCTGCTACGAGTGGCCTGCAACCTGCCTCTCCCCTAACCCCTCCTCACCTCCCTCCTCCTTTCGAAGTGTCTCAGAAACACAACCTCTTCTCCTTTCTGTCTGTGCTCCTCCTCCCCTATGTCTCTATTCCCTGTCCCCTCAGCTCTGCTGCGAGTGGCCTGCAACCTGCCTCTCCCTTACCCCCTCCTTGCCCTCCTCCCTGTGAGGCGCTTCAAACTGAACCTCAACTCTCTTCCCCTCCCCCCTGTCCCCTCGTCCACCCCTCTGCTCTTGTTCCCCGGTGCTGCCAGCTCTACTGAGAGTGGCATGGGACCTGCCTCTCCCCTACCCCCTCCTCGCCTCCCTCCTCCTCATCCCCCAACCTCTCCTCAACACCCCCTTCCTCTTCGCCTGGCGGCGCCGCCTCCGCGGCTTCAAGCAGGCCCCTCAGCGATCCTCCCCTCCTTCCCTCACTCTATGCCCCACAAACCCCTCCTCCCTCTCTAACTTTTCCCCATCCTTCCCCATCCTTCCCCTCCCTTCCCCTACCTTCCCCTCTTCTGCCCTTGTTCGCCCCGGTGCTGCCAGCGCTGCTGCGAGTGGCATGGGACCTGCCTCTCCCCTACCCTCTCCTGGCCCCCCTCCTCCTCATCCCCCAACCTCTCCTCAACATCCCCTTCCTCCTCGCCTGGCGCCGCCGCCACCACTGGTTCGGGCAGGCGCCGAGGCTAATCCTCCCTCCTCCGGACCTCATTGGTAGGTTCGTGGATCGGGAGGAGCTGGAGGACGAGGGGAGGAGAGACGAGGACAAGAGGCATCATGAGATGGCGGAGGGGCGGCATGGCTTGGACCGACCTCCGGGGTCCTTGGACTGATAATATTGGGGTGAAATATGCCCCTAATTGTGGTGGTGGTGTTAGTTTCTGTGCAGTTGGGTTGGGAATGTGTGAGTTGTGGGTACTGCTGATTTGGCTTGCCTTGAGAGTGAATCCCCTCCTCCCCGGCGTTGTTGATAAGTGTTTATGGGTCGAGAGGAGTTGTAGGACGAGGGGAGGAGGGATGAGGATAAGGGGCATCATGAGATGGCGGAGGGGCGGCATGGCTTGGATCGACCTCCAGGATCATTGGACTGATGGTTTCAGGTGGAAGATGCCCCTGGTTCTGGTGGGGATGTAGTTCCTGTGCAGTTGGAAATATGAGAGTTATTAGTGCAGCTGATTTGGGTTTGTGGATTGATTGATAGGCTTGTTGTCATGCTTGTTTGGGTTCTTTTGTGGAGCCAGCCGCGGAAGATCCTCTTGGGGCCTTCGATTTGAAGCACCGCACAACACTTGGTTGGGTTGTTCTGTAACTGGCCAGAAAATATCCTCTTGTTGCAAATTGCAATGCCATCTGTCCCTTCCCCTGCGTTGCAGAGGCGTGTGTAAGTCCGAAATGTATGGTAGGTACATATGGTACTACAGTACTACTGGTGTACGCTCCTGCAGCAATGCAACTACCGGTATTAGGTAAAAGAACCCTTGTGCTTCTTCAGCAGCACCACACCACAGCTAGTTCTTACACCAAGTTATTGTGTAGTTGATAACTCATGATTGGCAAATATGGATTGAGGTAGAAGTTAATTCCCCCCCCCCCCCCTCCCTCCCCTCTCCACGTTTTGTACTGGTACGGTACTACTAGTAGACAAAGAGCGGTTTTGTCTGTTACAAGCAGTTGCACTCCCACTTACAGAATGCCTTACAAGCAGATTTACACTAAGAATAAGCTAACCAATATACTACAACTAGGGTACAAACTTACACTAGAAAATCGTAGTCCTTTTCCAACAAAAGGTCTGCCAAAAGGTCTGAAATCTGAATGCCCCCCTCACAGCCTTCAGTGAGAAGAAAATCAAGCATTGGAAGATCCTTTATTTCACCAGGCAGGGCCTTCAGCTGCCTGCAGTTACGGAGATTAAGGTTCTTGAGTCTTGTAAGCTGGGACAAACCCTGAGGGAGCGAGCGGACAGAAGTGTTGCTGATCTTCAAATCAACCAGGCAGGATAAACGGCTGAGAGAAGCAGGGAGACGCGTGAGGGATGAGCAGGGAGACGCGTGAGGGATGAGCAGTGCGATAAGTCCAGCTGCCGAAGTCTTGAGAACGCCCCAAGCTCATATGGAAGAGAAAAAAAGCTTGGTGCGTGGATCTTAAGGGATGTCAGGTGCTGAAGAGTTGTGATAGCTGGAGGCAGCCAGGTAAGTTCACCACTCAATGTATCATCAATGCACAGCTGCCGTAGCCCACGCAAGGCCGATCCATCAGATTCCAGAAGCGTCTCCAAGCTGCAAGCTCCCATGACTGTTAAGTTGCAGAGGCAACCAAGACTGGTTAATGTGAAAAGATACCTCTCTGCCTTCCCCTCATCTGCTCCCAACGCCAACTCCAAACGCTCCAGACGTGACAGATGGGCAGCAATCGCCAGGAGGCCTGCTGCATCAACAAAACCCAAGCACAGATCTCTGAGCTCCGAAAACATTGCCATGTCTGGCAGACGTACCACCTCCTGATTGTTTAGGTAAGACAGAGCCTGGAGGCTCAAGGGTAGAAATTGAAGATTTCCATTCAGGTGCTCACATCCCCTCAGCTCCAACTGCTCCAGCCTGGTAAGCCTGTCTATCCTCCTGGGAATTGAGTAGAAGCTGGGACAGTTTTCAATCCTTAGCACTCGAAGGCTGACTAGAGCTGTCAAGCATTCCGGAAGCTTCTGAAATTCCGGAAAGTTCTGAATGTAGAGCTCCTGCAGGTTTGTCATCTCCCCCAAGCCCTCTGGAAGCTCGCCAATACTGCACTCATCCAGTTCCAGCCTCGTCAGTGAAACCAGCTGCGAGAAAGAGAGCGGCAACTGAACTCCACTGATGTTCGAAGATTGGTCAGTTCCCCCAAGTCTTTCGGAAGGGCCAGAGTAGGCGAGCTGACAAGGTGCAGAGATTGGAGTCCTGTGAGGCAGCCGAACCCTGGTGGTAATTCATGGATCTCCTCACACCCGAGCAGAAAAAAACGACTCCAGAGATGCAAGTCTGGTGAAGGAAGCAGGCAGATAGAGAAGAGGCAGAGTGTCCAAAACTAGAGTCTTCAAAGCTGGAAGACCTCCGAAATCGCTGGGCAGAGTGATGATGCTGCGCATAGAGATTGTCAGCTTCTCCAGGCAGGAGAGAGAGGTGAATTGGTCAGTCAAATAGATGAGGCATCTACAGTAACAGATGCTGAGATCATTCAGGCAGGGCATCACTTCTCCTATACTGGCTGGAAGGCTCTCTTGCTCGTTGCAATGTGTGAGCTGCAGGCGTTTCAGGGATCCGTATGGGAAACTACGAGGGGAAAAAACGCTGAGCTTTGCAAAGTGGATGCCGAGTTTCAACGAGCTGAGAAGAGGTAGTTGTGCAAGAGAGAAGGCAGGCGGAGTTTCAGAAATGCGAATCTGATCCGGCAAGGAGAGGCTGGTGAGGTTGGTGAGATGGAGGAGGTTGGAAAGTTGCTCGTAGTGAAGGTAGGTGGTTTCAATGGAGAGAGCAGTGAGTGAAACAAGAGAATTGCATTTTGACGAGCTGAGGATGAAAGGATTGGACAAGACGAGCGTGCGCAGATTCTGAAGATGGAAGAAAGAAGCTGGTGGCCTCACACTCTTCCGAAGACAACACAGCGACAGATGCTCCAGATCCGGGCAGCTACGGAAGAAATAATCCAAGCCAGGTTAGGTGATCAGGCTGTGATTCTTTCCACCTTTGTCGTCTGCTGTCAGCATCAACTTCCCCACGTGGAAGGCTCTCAGCTTAGGGCACGCAGCAGCGAGATTAGTGAGAAAGGCATTATCCAAAAGTTCCACACTGCAATCTGACAGGTGCAGATGCGTCAGATGCGGTAACCATGCAACAGCGTTGAGCAGATCCTGATGTGAAACGACCCGGCCTTCCTTCACGAGGAGAGAAGACACGTGGCGCTGGGTAATTCGCCTCCAACGGCGGCAGATGGAAGCAAGCAGTAGAGTGTACGCGGCGTCCGCGGAGTCGGGAGGGGTCGGCATGGGAGTGTCTCTTCGCCCGTAGACAAGCTCTTCAGTCGTAGCGTTCGCGTGGATGTACTTAGGCCGATCATGCGACACGACGTTCCACATATCATCGCTTTCGGATCCGCGAGAAATTGGCTGTTTCGGAGGCCAGAAGATCCAGGCGAGGACATCGTCAGGGAGATCGTTAATTTGAGTCGCTCCATATTCAATATGAGCCATGTCCGTAGTAGTCATGTCGGTATGAGCGGTGTGGGACTTCTTAGATGCCTCAAGAAACGAACTTAGCAGCAACTAAGGTGAAGGTAAAAGAAGAATAACGCCGGAGTAAAACCGCAGTTAAACGAGTATCATGCGTTCAGAATAGGCTCGATCGGAAAGGTAATCCATTTGTGTCCATCCTGTTTGTTTACTACTAGGCAGAAACTTCCTCTTTTCTCTCTGTCAGCTCCAAATAGAGTCGATCCGCTGCTGCGACAAGCAACCCCAGCTAAAGGAGAGTCACTATTCGATGCGACTCTAGATGCGACTCACCCTGCGACTCTGTGACTTTCACAGTGGAGACTTACGCACACGTGGCATTCTGTGGCTGCTGCTGTAGTATCCATGCACACTCACTGAGCAGTGAACAAGCCGAAGGACAGCTGGCATTGTCTAATCATTCACTAGCCATGCGCTCCAGCTGGCATGATGCTCGCTCACTCAGGGCGATCCATTCCCGAGGATCCTCGAAAATAGCGTGATAATGTCACTCATCAGGCTCTGCGCTTCGGGCAGCGGCTACTCCTACTTCGGGTTTTGCGGGAGCATCTCGCAGCTCCCCTGAATCATCATCACACGTTCCTTCACCAAAGCGCAAGTCGCAGTGTGATCGTAAGGTAGATATGTGAAGGTGTCTTGAATGGTACTCAACGGAACTCGTTACTGAATGGTAGCCCTGCACAGATAGTATAAACTATTGTAAGGAATTTTCTCGGCATTCCTTACGGAGCCGACTACATCGCGTACAGCAACAGCCGATTGTTCGCCCGTTACTGCTAACGGAACTTCGCCGACTTCGCGCGCACTGTTTTGCCAAACCCCGCACTGCTGGCGTGGCCGTATCGGCCTACGCTTCGGGACTAGCCCGAGCCTCGCTCCAGCGTAGCACTAGCAAGCTCGCACGCACCGCGTTACCGTTTTGCATGTTTCGCGTATAAATGTTCGCTCATGCCTTCGCTCACATTTTGTACTCGTTGAACACCTTAGTGCAATTCTCGTTACCTCGATTCATTGCACCCGTAACACTTGGTATCAGAGCCCCTTTCTTTTCGGACCGCGCATTTTTCCGCACACCAGGAAATCAACTTATGATTTTTCACTCGAAGGGACCTACGCACCTTAGCCCCTAGGAGCCGCTGCCCTCGCGTTCTCTCGTAAACGCGTGCAGCCACGACTGCGCCTAGACTAAGACGAGCCGACGCCC